CGGCTCGCGCTCAGCGTGATATTCGGCTTGGCTTTCAGTGGGCCCACGTTGCAGCGACTCCGAAGGCCCGCCGTTTAGGACGTGGCGCTGATGCGTGCCAACAAGCCCCCGCATTGACAAAAGGAGAGATTCGGACTATATACCGGATCATGGAGAACCAAGACCCATTCCCCGAGCAGGCAGTGCGGCGGGCAACGCCGCTCATGCGGGCTGTGGCCTCGGCACTTGGCAAAGCGACCTCTCTGCGCGCGTCGTGCGTGCACGTGCGCCTCATGATTCTGGTGGCCACAACTCTCGGGGCAGTTCAGCTCAAGTACGGTGGAATCTTATCCCGACAATGCAATCTGCTCATGATCCAGCATGGCCCACCTGGGGATGGAAAGTCGGTTGCACTGTGGTTCGACGTGCAAGTGCTGGCCTTCTTCGACATGATACGGGAGAGGCGAGCCAAGAAAAAGTACGACGAGGCCGAGCAGAAACACAAAGAGGACCGAGAGAACAACCCACAGCCGGCGAAAAAAGAACATGCTAAAGACACCATCTTCAACAAACGGACGTTCATCGGCCTCGGGAACTTCATGCAGGCGCAAGGGGGGACCGCATTTCTTGCGCTACACGAGGGGAAACCATGGCTACCCCAGACCGTAGACAGCGGCCCAGGCGGCGGCATCGACGACCTCAACCAAATTCACGATCATGAAATGTACAAGAACCATCCTGGGAATACCCAGGATCGTTTTCTCGTACGAAACCCGCTATGGTGCGGAGCGGTCATGATGCACGTACGACCAGGCGCAGAAGCCCGACACCACCGCGGGCATTATGCGTTTCTTGATCGGACATTTCTCAGCCGTTCTCACCATGGAAGAGTTGCGGCAGATTGTGCCGGAAGCTCACGAGGACACGGTGGGGGGTGATCATTCTGTTGCAGACAGGCCCCCCTTCGAATGCCAATCCTGCCCGCGTCGCCGGATCGCCGGGTCGCCGGGTCTCCGGGATGCCGGGGCGCCGGGACGCCAGGTCGCCGGGTCGCCGGGACGCCGGGTCGCCGGGTCGCCTGGTCGCCGGGTCGCCGGGTCGCCGGGATGCCAAGTCTCCGGGACGCCGGGTCGCGGGGTTGCCGCGGCCGCGGGTCGCCGGGTCGCCGGGTCGCCGGGTCGCCGGGTCGCCGGGTCGCCGGGTCGCCGGGTCGCCGGGTCGCCGGATCGCCGGGTTGCCGGCTCGCCGGCTCGCCGGCTCGCCGGCTCGCCGGCTCGCCGGGTCGCCGGGTCGCCGGGTCGCAGGTCGCCGGTGGCCGGATCGCCTGAAGGAGGGGGGGGGGGGGGGGGGGAAGGGGAAAGGGGGGGGGAAAAAAAAAAAAAAGGAGAAGGGGAAAGAAGAAAAGGGGAAGGAAAGAAGATCGCCGGTCGCCGGTCGCTGGGTTCGCGGGTTTGCCGGATGCCGTGTTGCCGGTCGCCATTTCGCCTGCGGGCCCGGGCGGGGGTGGGGTGAAGCCGTGGCCCGGGGGGGGGGGGCCCGGGCCCCCCCCGGCGCCGGCTCGCCGGGTTGCTGTGTGGCCGCGTCGCCGGGTCGCTGGGTCGCCAGGTCGCCGGGTCGCGGGGTCGCCGGGTCGCCGATGCCGGGTCTGGGTCGCCGGGTCGCTGGGTCGCCGGGTCGCCGGGTCGCCGGGTCGCTGGGTCGCCGGGTCGCCGGCGGGTCGCCGGGTCGCCGGATCGCCGGGTCGCCGGGTCGCCGGGTCGCCGGGTCGCCGATGCCGGGTCGCGTCGCCGGGTCGTTGGGTCGCCGGGATGCCGGGTCGCCCGACGTCGCCGGGTCGCCGGGTCGCCGGGTCGCCAGGACGCCGGGTCGCCGGGTCGCCGGGTCGCCGGGTCGCCGGGCCCCCGGGCCGCCCGATGCCAGTCGGGGCTCTTGTGTTAGATATAGCTGAACAAATCGAATACTCGAGCACACAAGTGGACTTAGGGAACTTATCGCTGCAACTATTTATGGAAAAAGATGCTCCCAATAAGTTATCTTCTCTGAAAAATAAGTCCCAAATGAGTTCCGTAAGTTCCCGAGCCCCCCTGAAGCCCCTACCCGCCGCGGCCCCTCGGGCTCGTCCTTGAATGGGTTGTGCAATGGAGGAGGGAGGAGGAATAGGAGGCGGAGTCGGAGGATCAAGAGAGTGAGAGTGATGATGATGATGATGATGATGATGATGATGCTGATGATGATGATGATGATGAGACGGACGAGGATGATCATGCTGAGGATGATGATGATGATCATGATGATGATAATGAGGATGGCGGTGATGATGACGGTGATGGTGATGGTGATGGTGATGTTGATGATTGGCGATGCTTTTTCCCGCCCTCAATTAGACTCCGAGCGTGGGTCGACCCACTCGGTCTCCACCTCGAGGGTGACCTTGAACGTGGCCCTCTTCGGGCGCCTGTAGTCGCACTGGTCCACGTCAGGAGATGGGGGCCCTCCTGAACCGTACATCTGCAGGAAGGCGGCCTTCAACCATGGGTTGGTCACGTCCTCGATGCACTTCCACTCCTGCTCGACCTTCTTGACCCGCTTCTCGGGCGGCTGGAAAATCTGGATCAGGTAGTAGCCGCCGCGCTCGGGCTTCTTGTCGGGTTCGGCGCGCGCGGCCTCTCTCGGCGGGCTCGGAGGCGGCCCCTCCGGAGTCCACGGGGCGGGCGTCTCGGCCTCGGACTCTGCCATGGCGCGAAGGGCCTCGCTCTCTGCCATGGCTCTCGTCGGCGGGGGAGTGCGCGGGGCGCTGGATGACATGGCGAGCGGGGGAGTGTGCGGGGCTTGGGATGATATCAGACCGCAGCTTTGGGCCACTGGCAAAGGTATGCACACATATATGGGGTCAGCACCGCTTCAGCGGGTGAGCCGCTGTGGCGAAACCAAAAGGGGCCACGATCCTCGTGAGGGGTGTGCCGAAATGGCCCGAGGCCGCCATGCCAACCCTGCCAATGAGGCCTTCGGTGGAGCTCCCTATGGGGCCACGGTCCTCGTGAGGGGTGCTCCGAAATGGCCCGAGGCCGCCATGCTAACCCTGCCACTGGGGCCTTCGGTGGAGCTCCCCACAGGGCCACGATCCTCGTGAGTGGTGTGCCGAAATGGCCCGATGCCGCCATGCGAACCCTGCCACTGGGGCCTTCGGTGGAGCACCCCGCAGGGCCACGATCCGCGTGATGGGTGTGCCGAAATGGCCCGAGGCCGCCATGCTAACCCTGCCGCTTGGGCATTCGGTGGAGCCCTCTATGGGGCCACGATCCTAATGAGTGGTGTGCCGAAATGGCCCGAGGCCGCCATGCAAACCCTGCCACTGAGGCCTTCGGTGGAGCTCCCCACAGGGCCACGATCCGCGTGATGGGGTGTGCCGAAATGGCCCGAGGCCGCCATGCGAACCCTGCCAATGAGGCCTTCGGTGGAGCTCCCCACAGGGCCACGATCCTCGTGGCGGGTGTGCCGAAATGGCCCGAGGCCGCCATGCGAACCCTGCCACTGGGGCGGTGGAGCTCCCTATGGGGCCACGGCCCTCGTGAAGGGTGTGCCGAAATTGCCCGAGGCCGCCATGCGAACCCTGCCACTGTGGCCTTCGGTGGAGCTCCCCACAGGGCCACGATCCTCGTGATGGGTGTGCCGAAATGGCCCGAGGCCGCCATGCGAACCCTGCCACTGGGGCCTTCGGTGGAGCCCCCTATGGGGCCACGATCCGCGTGAGGGGCGCGCCGAAATGGCCCGAGGCCGCCATGCGAACCCTGCCACTGCGGCCTTCGGTGGAGCTCCATATGGGGCCATTGTCCTCGTGAGGGGTGCGCCGAAATGGCCCGAGGCCGCCATGCGAACCCTGCCACGGAGGCCTTCGGTGGAGCTCCCTATGGGGCCTCGGTCCTCGTGGCGGGTGTGCCGACATGGCCCGAGGCCGCCATGCGAACCCTGCCACTGGGGCAGTCGGTGGAGCTCCCTATGCGGCCACGACCCTCGCGAGGGGGGTGTGCCGAAATGGCCCGGGGTCGCCATGCGAACCTTGCCACTGGGGCCTTCGGTGGAGCTCCCTATGGGGCCACGATCCTCGTGCGGGGTGTGCCGAAATGGCCCGAGCGAGCCCTGCCACTGGGGCCTTTCGCCGTCGTCGTCGTCGTCGTCGTCGTCGTCGTCGTCGTCGTCGTCGTCGTCGTCGTCGTCGTCGTCCCATCGGCCCCCCACCCCCCTCCTTTTAAGCGCACATAAGTAAGGAAACATGTCCGAAACGGCCGCGCTCTCTTACGCACCGTTGCCATGTCCTCGACCTCGAGAACGAAGGCTTCCCCCTTGAAAGGCGGGGGCGCAGGGGTGGGGCCCTGGTGAAACATGGGGGTGGGGCCCTGTCTCCGACCGCGGTGAAACATGAATAGGGCGCGGCCCTCCCCGCCCTCGCGGGGCGGCCTTGCTCCCTGGGGCGTGGTCGAAAACAGGGGCGGAGGGGATTCAGGGACTTCTGAATTATAACTAGAAGGTGGGGAGGAGGAGAAGGAGGAGGAGGAGAAGGAGGAGGAGGAGGAGGAGGACGACGACGAGGGCCCAACACCACAGGATGGTTGGGCAAAAAATGTCCTTCCTCCTTCATACACCCGCATCGACATCATCACAATCACAGACATCCGCCTTTTTGGCATCGTCATTTTGGTTTCGCCACAGCGGCTCACCCGCTGAAGCGGTGCTGACCCCGCATAAGTGATATGTGCGCATACCTTTGCCAGTGGCCCAAAGCTGCGGTCTGATGTCAAGCCCGCGTTCCCGCGCCCCGCGCACTCCCCCGCTCTCGAGAGCCATGACAGAGGCCGTGGCCGCGCGCGCCGCAGCCGAGACGAGTCGCGCCCCGCGCACCCCCCCCCCCCCCGCTCCTGCCGACGAGGGCCATGGCAGAGGCCGAGGCCGTGCGCGCCGAGACCGAGACGAGTCGCGCCCCGTGGACTCCCCCGAGCCCGCCGCCTCCGAGCCCGCCGAGAGCCATGGCAGAGGCCGCGCGCGCCGAACCCGAGACGAAGCCCGAGCGCGGCGGCGACTACCTGATCGAGATCTTCCAGCGGGTCAAGAAGGCCGAGCAGGCGTGGAAGTGCATCGAGGAAACCCACGGTTGAAGGCCGCCTTCCTGAACATGTATGGTTCAGGAGGGCCCCCATCTGAGGGCCACGTTCAAGGTGACCCTCGAAGTAGAGACTGAGTGGGTCGACCCACGCTCGGAGTCTAATTGCGGGCGGGAAAAAGCATCGTCAATCATCAACATAACCATCACCATCACCATCACCGTCATCATCATCATCATCATCATCCTGATCATCATCATCATCATCATCATCAGCATGATCATCCTCATCCGTCTCACCATCATCAACATCATCACCACCAGCATCATCATCACTCTCACTCTCTTGATCCTCCCACTCCGCCTCCTATTCCTCCTCCCTCCTCCATTGCAGAACCCATTCAAGGACGAGCCTGAGGGGCCGAGGAAGACGACGACGACGAGGGCCCAACACCACAGGATGGTTGGGCAGAAAATGGCATTCCTCCTTCCTACACCCGCATCGACATCATCACAATCACAGACATCCGCCTTTTTGGCGTCGTCACATAGGTAGCTCCACCGAAGGCCCCAGTGGCAGGGTTAGCATGGCGGCCTCGGGCCATTTCGGCACACCCCTCACACGGTTCATAGCATCATAGGGAGCTCCACCGAAAGCGGCACCCACCACGCGGTGCTCACCACGCGGCCCTTCGCCCATGGACGACGGCGAGGGCCGAAGCCAATCCTCAACAATATGAAGGGTCACGGTGAAAGTGACCTTCTTCAACCACGCGTGGTTGAAGGATGCCTGTCTCGCGATGCACCAGGCCACCTTGAGGGCCGTCTTGAATCATCAGGGGCCATCTTGGGAACCGCTCGGGGCCAATCCTGCTGGTTTCGTGGCCCTCCCCCCGTCGCTCCCCCATGGGCCCCAATCGGGGCCTGTCGCCCGCGGCGCCCCAGAGTGTTTGGCGTCAGGCGCGGCCCCGTCCAGCGCCCATTGGGGGGAGTGACGCCGAGGCCCTAGGGGGGGGCCTGCTCGGAGCCCGGGTCTTCTCCGCGCCCCCCCCCCCGATGCCGTTTCGGCACTGGATCGAACGGCGCCCTTTACTGCGCGAGGGCGCGAGCGGCATCCTGCGACGCGAAATCCGCGCGATGATGGACGCCACGTACGCTGCCGACATATACAACTACAACGGCACGTGGGCCGATGCAACGTTGGCGACCTTCCTGTTCGAAGCTGAGTGCTACCCAGCCGCCCTCGATGCATGCATGAGGCTGCGTCTCGACCCGCGCACCGTCTGGGGCGACTTCGGCCACTTCGCTTTCATGGCGTCAGAGTGCGGGTTCGAGCCGCCCGAGCAGGCCCGCGCCCACTACTGCTGGATCTTCGCCGACATCGATGCGAGCATGAAGCAGCTGCCAGCGGCCGCCAACAAGCCCGACGGCGTCTCCGACGACAAGCCCGACTACATCCTCGACGGCAACTCCGACAGCAAGCCCGACGGCATCTACGACGGCCAGCCCCGCGCACCAGCAGGACCTTCGGCCGCGCCCTCGTCCTCAGCACGGTTGTTCAGCGCACCAGCAACAGCAGGACCTTCGGCCGCGCCCTCGTCCTCAGCGCGGTTGTTCAGCGTGCCAGCAAGACCTTCGGCCGCGCCCTCGTCCTCCGCATCGCGCACAGGGCTGCGCCGACAGGGCAGCGGCTGGTTTCGCGAGAGGGTGGGCAACCCAAAGGGGCCTCGCTGGGGCGGTAGGGGCGGGGCGACGTCTGCCAACGCGCAGTGGCACTCGGGTCTGCACAGGGCTCGGCGAGAGGGCTGGGAAGCCGAGTACAGGAGGCTTTACAAGAAGCCGCCCAGTGCGGCTCAGAAGTAGGCGTTACTTTTACTTCAATTAGACTTCGGTGCTGCTTCAGCACTGGCTGCATTCAAATGCAACAAATTAGCCTGCAGAATGGCCCGGCCACATGCAGTTGTGAATACCGCAATTGTGATGTCATCTTCGCCCGTGCTCCCTATGGGGCCACGAAACGTGTGCGGGGTGTGCCAAAATGGGGCGCGTGCCGCATGCGGGCTGCGCCACTGGGATCTTGGGTGGAGCTCCCTATGGGGCCGCGAAGCGTGTGAGGGGTGTGCCAAAATTGGGCGCGTACCGCATGCGGGCTGCGCCACTGGGGCCCAAGGTGGAGCCTCTTATGGGGCCACGAAACGTGTAGGGGGTGTGCCAAAATTGGGCGCGTACCGCATGCGGGCTGCGCCGCTGGAGCCTACGTTGGAGCTCCGTATGGGGCCACAAAACGTGTGAGGGGTGTGCCAAAATCGGGCGCGCACCGCATGCGGGCGGCGCCGCTGGGACCATAGGTGGAGCTCCCTATGGGGCCACGAAGCGTGTGAGGGGTGTGCCAACATTGGGCGCGTACCGCATGCGGGCTGCGCCACTGGGACCACAGGTGGAGCTCCCTATGGGGCCAGGAAACGTGTGAGGGGTGTGCCAAAATTGGGCGCGTACCGCATGCGGGCTGCGCCACTGGGGCCTTGGGTGGAGTTCCGTATGGGGCCACGAAGCGTGTGAGAGGTGTGCCAAAATTTGGCGCGCACCGCATGCGGGCTGCGTCGCTGCGGCCGAAGGTGGAGCTCCCTATGGGGCCACGAAGCGTGTGAGGGGTGTGCCAAAGTGGGGCGCGTCCCGCACGCGGGCTGCGCCACTGGGGCCATGGGCGGAGCTCCCGAGCTCCGCATGGGGCCACGAAACGCGTGAGAGGTGAAGATGATGGCGGGAGGAAGGAGGATGGGAGAGAGGAGGGGGAAGGAGAGGAGAGGAGAGGAGGAGGAACGCGGGGCGCCGTCTCTTCAAAACGAGGTCCCAACACCACAGGATGGTTGGGAAATAGCCCTCGCATCCCCGTCCTCGTCGTCCTCGTCGTCCTTGTCGTCGTCGTCGTTGTCCTCGGCGTCCTCGTCCTCGTCCTTGTCGTTTTCCCCGTCGTCGTCGTCGTCGCCGTCGTCGTCCTCGTCGGCCCCCATCCCCCCCCGCCGCAAACTTCGCGGCTGTTTCGCTCCCGCGCGTTGTTTCAGCGGCTCCCCCGCTATGTTGTGTTTCAGCTGAGTTTATATTCCGCGAGGGTGTCATATTCGAAACTACTGATATTGCGATTGCGAGTTCAATTCGAAACGTGCGAATATTCCGATTGTGAGGATCTCTCAAGCCGTTCGTCCGAAAACGCCTTGCTCTGCTGCCGCCAATTCCCTTGCTACCAGGCCAGGGGGGGGGGGGGCGCGCAGGAGGCGAGGGGGATGTATAGGAGAAGAGACAGGCAGACGACGACGACGACGACGACGACTCGACGACGACGACGGCAACGGTTGCGCCGAC